CAAGGGTGAAATAAACATGCAACAATGGCGATATAAAATAAAACAAAACACAAAAAATACGCCAAGACAAACGAAAACACAAGTAAATGATCATGGAGTTCGGTCCCCATGACCTACGTCTCCGCTCCCCACTCCCGGGGAGAATCCACTAAACAATTGGGTTTTTGACGTTCACCCAAAAACGTTTACACCTCACAATCTCGGTTTTCTAACTCACCGAAAACTTTTACAACTCACACTTGTAACTACAAAAATACCACCTCAAGTGTTGGCCTCTTACGTGTCACATTCCTCAAGTGTTCGGAATTACGACCTCTCACTAGGCTTAATTTACTACTGACCCATTCCTCTTGGAACCGTCCACGTCTCTCACCTCTACACTCCTCTTGGTGTATTTGTGCAATAAATTATGACCTCACAAATGAAAGCTCAAATACAAATAATTTGTTCTCTATAATAGATGAGAACACAATGTATGCTCACACTCTAAGTCACACAATCTCACAACCCTAATTATACCATGTATGAAAATACAATAAGCTCAATAGGTTGTGTGTGAACAAAGAGTATAAATAAAATCAAACTAAACTCAATATAAAAATCTAGCTTATGGAAATGATAATCAAACATATAAATTGCTAGAGATTGAGTTTAGAAAACTTCTCTAATGAAGACAAGAGAGAGAGAGAGAGAGAGAGATGAAATGGAAGCTCAAACACAAATTGATGATCTCCTCTTGCTCTTGTGAAAACCACTTCACATAAACTTTTATAAAACACACTTAAAACAAACTTAAACACCATTAAACTTTGTTTTAAAACTTTCTTAATTGCTCTCAGAAGTTAGAGGGTATGAGGTATATAGGATCATAAAACATGCCCCAAAACCAAGAGAAAACTAAGGAAAAAGACAAAAAAAAAAAAAAAATAGAAACCTGAAAATCTAGAAAAACTAGCCGTAAGAGGCCGTCGATCAACTGATGAACAATATCAGTCGACTGATGAGCTGACCGTTATAGGCAGCTCACAGCTAATCGGTCGACTGAAGATCTCATCAGTCGACTGATGATCTAATCAGTCGACTGATAGTTTATTAGTCACAAAAACATAAACTTTTGTACTTTCCAAACGATTTTTTCAGTCGACTGATCCCTTGCATCAGTCGACTGATAACATAATATCAGCCTGTTTTGAATAGTAAATCTAATTTTTAAAAGGCTTTAAAAAATAGTAAATAAGATCCAAAAATTATGAAACTTTGGAAAATGATTATAAACATGATAATGGACATGTTACAAAAAAAAAAAATAGAATTGTACTTCCTAATTGTGAAAACTCATTACTTTGCAAAATAGTCCAAAACATGAAAACTAAACAACACATATTTTTGACATTTTGACTTAAACAACCTTTTGAAAACTTTTGTATGGCTTTATAGAGTTAGGAAAAAAAAATATAAACTAGTATTATTAATTCCATAAAGCAATAACACAATATTTACTCAAAAATGTATATATTATGCAATAAACATGATTTCATTGAATTTAAACTTGTTGTTTGATGAAATCATCTTAAGCACATATAAACATGAAACAATTATGTATTTTCCAATTTTATTTATTTGTTTCATATTTATATAGCTAAACACATTATTTACCAAAACTAAAAATGATAAATATGAAACATGTATGTATGTATATAGATTAGTATATTTGTTTCATATTTAAACTTGAAAGCTATAAAATCAAAACGTGTATGTGTGTATAAGATTGAGCTCTAAGTATTAATACACAAGTATAAACCCTAAACTATAAAAACTATAGCCAAGCTCTTGATCTTCGATGTAACTCAACTTGGTTGCGGATGAAGCTTGATCTTGTATTTGACTTCGAATTGCATTGGCTTCATACCGATATTCCTTCCATCCTTCAAAGGATACGATCATAAAAACTCTAGTCCATCCATCCTCCAACTTGGATATTTATGTAGATTACCTAACAATCAAATATAAACACTTGACAAACATTGTTAGACATTGTTTGTAATCATCTAAACAAGATTAGGGAGTAGGCTCATAAACATGAAATCTAACAAGGCTAACATGTAAAACTTCATCAATTTATTACTAAAGTTATTCTTCTTCTATAAATTATTGTCTTTACTTTTTGTATTTAAATTTGATCAATCATTTAATTTAAAACTTTGAGATTGAATTTGATAAAAACGATGTCAAAAATAAACTCAGCATGTTGAAAAACCTTAGGAATGACTCCTAGATCGCCAAAATCCGCCTCTAAACTCTCGATCAGATGATAAATTAATCTGAACCGTTGATCTAGATTTAAAAACCAATTATCCAAATCCACTCCTCAAATTCACGTGTGACCAGCTGCCTCTCACGAAACAGCGAACACGCAAAGGCCCACACACCGAATCCCGTAGAAACTCGTTGTCCTTCACGTCCTTGTTACTACTCGCACGTAGCCCCACCTGAACTTCTCTCGAGCGCTCCACGTTTTTTTTTCACGTGACTATCGCCTGTCTCCTCGTCACGTGTGAGCTTCTCAACTCAAGTGTTTCTCTTCTTCTAGCAGGAAACCCTCACGACGACGAACACCAGAAACCGCCGAAAGCGGTAAACACCAGCGATCATCGTCTTTACTTGCCTGCCACCTTGATGCTTTTACCGAAATTTTTTTCTCAAAGTTCTTCCGTTCACCGATGCTGACCACCGCGTCATCGATCGCTAATGCCCTCACTGATCACACACCACTCGAACCTACACGAATCATCGAACCCCGTTCTGATACCACTTGTTGGGTTTTTTAAATCTCGCAAAAACCCTGAAAACTATCAAACACAGCAAATTGAATCGCACGTGATTTAACGTGGAAAATCCTCGATAAGAAAAAATCACGGGATAAAAAACAACCAACTATCACCCCCAAATTACAATCTTTTGCATGAATAAAGACTGTCAAACCCTCTCCATCTCTGTCTCTCAATACTCTTGAACCCCATTACACCCTCTGTTAAATCCTGATTATATGAATATTGTCTCTCTCTCCCTCTCTCTACTCTAAAACCCTAGAATATGACGTCTTATTTAAAGACACCCTTAACTTGCTCACCAAGTTAACTTGGCCTTTAAGAAAACTACTAGGGCTGAGCCTAGTCTTCATATCTGCATCCAACTTGGAGTTTGAGTCGGTATCTAATAAATGACTCACTGAGGTTTTGGTTTAATCTAATATATTCCAAGGTTACTAGGCAATTTTTAGGAAAGATAAAGGGTAAAGGCGTCATTTTGGATTTAATTCCGAGTGAGGAATGCCCCACCCTTGTTTAGTCCGAAAAGTCTGCACTATTTCATTTTAATGGACTAAATAGTCTAGCCTAATCCCCTGCGGAATTTTGAACCGAACACCCCATTATTTTAATTTAAGGGATAAAGACTTATTACCAAACTAATAACACTGAATTCAGACACACCCTATGTAGTCTATTGTTCATTTTTATGTTCCCTCCCTAGGCATACACTTCGAAATATCGTGTAACGAGTTATCTTATTAATTGTGTTATAATGTATAAAAACATTGGGTAAAAACTTTGCTCATTTAGTGTAATAATCTATATTACTATTAAAGTGGGTTGCTATGTTAGAACTTTTGATTTGCTTTTAACCCTCTCAATTTTAATAATCCCCAATAGGTATAATTTTTATAATCCCCAATATCAATAAGTATTAAAGTTTGTGTGGTTCTAATGACTATTAGGTTCCCTTGAAATTATATTTTTGGTTAAGCATTAATTATTATGTTAGTTATATTGTGAGGACTTTTGGGTTCCCATGAAATTGTGTTTTGGGTTAAACTCTTATTCCTATTTTTGTTTTACAGAATTACTATGCAGCTCGAAAATATAGTAATTAGTTATATGCAATAATATGATGAAGGATACTGTTTTAGCGCAACTAACCAAGATTATAGTATGCAAAGTAGAAATACACAATTTTCATCGTGACTAAGCTAAATATGAGAAATATTTAACCATAATTTTTTTATGTTCTTTGTTTAGAAGAATAAAGAACTTGCTTGTAGTTATACTATAAAACTATGCCTAATATTGTACAAATTATGCACAGTGTGCTAATGTAGTAGCTAACTTTTTTGATTTGGACTCCCATGAAAAGAGAAAATGAGCACTAAAGAGTAACTTCTAGAAAAAAATATAGGAGGATGGATAATCAAATTATTTGAAGAGATGAAGAGTCAATAGGAAAGTTTAATTACAAGATATTGAGGATTAAATGAAAATGATGTGTACTCAATTTAGCAATATAAAAAATTAGATAACTTTAAAATATCCTTAAATTTATAATATGAAGCAAACCGCTGTAAAAACTCTATTGTTTGGACCATAAGGAATATTCAATCTCTTTAATAGTCATTTTCTTTATAGGAAACTTATGCTGATACTATCTTAGAGTGGATCCTAACGCTTAGATGTTTTGAGATAACCCTAAAACTTGTTGTTTAAATTATAAATTTAATATTAAAAACTAATTTAATAACATATGTTAATTTATACATGTATCATGCACCAGGTGCAATGCACTTATGACATACTAGTCTATATAAAAGCAAAGATTAGTGGGACTGTCTATAAATTGAGGACTGTACCGTGTAAGAGCAAGTTGTATATATCTTATTCTATTTTCTGGTGCTACTTCATCCATAAATGCATTCACATCTTGTTTAACGTTCTATTCACAGCTGAAGAAGATTGGATGTCCATTGGTGTTGTTATCGGTTACAGGAGTAGTAGTGGCAGTGTTAGCATCTGAAAGGACACTGAAACCTGTGGGAGCATTTTCATGCTGGTTCCTTTGATGGTAGTAACAACAATGGGTTCTTTTTTGCAAATGTATTTAGCAAAATGGATTGCCACCTCATACCCGTTATTTCCATATTATATATAGTTTTCCTCCGTGTTCTCAAGTATTAAAACATATTTGTATATGTTGGCAATTACATCCATTTATCTGCCCAAATGATAAAGTTGTACAATACAGTGGAAGTGATATGCTTGTTAAATCTAACATATCACGACATGCACAAAAGGATTACTCAACAGAAAGTTTCATGAGATACTATTTATTGTGATTGTTTACTTGTTCAAGTGGCATTGCAGAGGTTTTGCAGAAAGATATAGGTTTTGCCTCCTGCGAGAAGAGATTCCTGGCGAGTCGCCCATATCCAGATCCTCTTTCATAATTCCATCAGGCAGCTCCCAATCGAAGTTCTTTACGAGATTTGCAAACGCAAGCTCAAGCATTGAGACCCCCAATTGCATTCCAGGACAAATTCTTCGTCCAGCTCCAAACGGGATGAGCTCGAAGTGATGACCTTTGTAATTGATCGGATTGTCCAGAAATCTCTCAGGTCGAAACTCTTCGGGTGCTTCCCAGAGCTTAGGATCGCGACCAATCGCCCAGATGTTGATAAAAACTCTCGTGTACTTGGGAATTTCGTGCCCTTGTATTATGCATTGATCCATTGATTCTCGTGGGATCAGCAGAGGTAGAGGAGGGTGCAATCGAAAGGTTTCTTTTATTGTTGCTTTTAAGTAGCTCATTCTGCTCAAGTCCTCATCAGCGATTGAAGATTTTGTGCTCAGTATCTCTCTTACCTCATTTTGCACTTTCTTCATAACTTCTGGATGTCTTGCAAGCTCGGTCATGCCCCAGTCTAGGACTAAGAACGTCGTGTCTGTCCCTGCTGCAATCATATCCTACATCGACAAACAGAAGTCATAGCAGTTCCCTGTTATGCGTGACCCTGTTATGCGTGACATAATGATTCATACCTCCTGTATCATTTATCAGTATACTCTGTTCTAATTATATATATGATTTTTACTTCTTGTATTTTATTCTACTTGTGCTCGGGCTGTGAGTTTGCAATAATTTTTTTTATACCAGTTCAAAAAACAGTTCCCTGTGTATAAGAATCATATGATCAGAAAACAAATTACCAGTAAAATTGCTTTGATTGTATCCCTGTTGAGCAGAATCTCTGCATCTTTATTGCTCTGAAGAGCGAGGAGAACGTCTACAAAGTCTAACTTCTCTCCGGCATCCATCTTTCCTTTCAAACTATTTGTGTTTTCTTCGATGATCTCATCAAGAACCGAATCCCACTTCTTGAAAGACTTTATGGTCCTCGCCTCCAAGCCTGAAACCCTATCCAACCATCCGAGCCATGGCATGAAATCCCCGATACTGATCTGCCCAAAAGTTACAGAAAGCTCATCTATCATTTTGCACATAACTCTACATCTCCCTTCGTCTGTAAAATATCTGCCAGATATAATCCTGCACACGAGCCTGTTGACGAACACGTGCAAGACCTCGCTCATATTGATCGTAGCACGTGACGTACACATGTCAGATATGCTTGATACCATAGATGTCACTTCCTCTTCAAGAACAGAGCGAAAAGATTGTACCATCTTTGTACTTAGGAGGTGGTTGACGCATAACTTCTTGGTCTGTCGCCAGTGCTGACTGTAAGGTGCAAAGACCACGTCTCTGGCTCCGTACATCATAATTGTTGAAGCTAGTGATGAGGGCCTGTTACCGAAGATGTGATCATGGGTACGCAGAATCTCTCGAGTCATGTCTGGTGACGAGACGACGAGGGTTGGGACCTGACCGAGCTTGAGGAGCATTAGAGGTCCATGTTTCTTGGAGAGAGCGTGGAGGGAGTGATGAGGGAGGGATGTGAGCTGGTGAAGGTTTCCGATAAGTGGGAGCTTTGGTGGACAAGGAGGGAGCTTATGTTTTATTGATGATGATACACGTTTGAGGATTGGAATAAGGACAGGGAGCAAAAGGAGAAGTGCAACAAAAATGGACATGTTTTCAAAGGAAAAAGAGCAAGTTCACAGGATTATTCACATATACATGCTTCATATATAGTGCATATCTTTTGATGGAAAGTTATTGTATCTACAGTAATCACCTATCTGCTATAGTTTTCACCAACCGCAGACCTATTAAATGTTACTGTAGCAACGTTGTAGCAACAGTGCGCACCTACCATAAACTCACTTATATATAGCTCTCCCTGGCGTTAAGTTCTGATCATCCCAGTGTCTCCAATTATGAGTCAAAAGAGAGAGAGAGAGAGAGAAAGAGAGAGAGGAGAGAGAGAGAGAGAGAGAGAGAGAGAGAGAGACTTTCTCCCTAAAAAGAGAGATTGTAAGAGCATCTCCAAGGGATCCCTTGAATGTCCCTTAATCTAGGGGGAACTTTAAGGGAGGGGTTAGTTCTTCTCCAATGGTTCCCCCTTAAAAGTCCCCTACCCCTTAATTAATTATATTTAGTTTTTTAATTTTATAGATTAGGATTTAATTAAATATGTGGTTTATTTATAAATGAATAAATAGTTAAATATTAATAACTAAAAATGATTAATTAATTAATTTAAATTAAGAAATTACCTTATATAATCATTAAATTAATTATTCATATTAAAATTTAACAAATAATTAATTTAGAACAAAATATTAATCAAATTGAATTAACTATACATTAACTTAATTATATTATTTTAAATTAACTATACATTAACTAAATTTAATTAACTATAAATTAATTCTAAAAACATATATATTAATATAAAATTACAAGGGGAAGGTTAAGGGACTTTAACCTTCCCCTTAATTTGGTGAGGAAGTTAAGGGACATGGGGTGAAGGGGTTTTTTTTCCGGTCCCTTGGACCACATCTCCCTTAAATCCCCCTTAATTTAGCTAAGGGGCCGGATTTTTCCGGCCCCTTGGAGATGCTCTAACTCCTAATTTTTTCCTCATAGTGGATTCTTCTACCATTGCCCTTGGTTTTTTACCCAAATTTATTAGGGGGTTTTTCACGTAAATCTTTGTGTTTATTTTATTACTTCTACTATTAGTTGGGACCTTACTCTATTGAAGATTCTCTCCAATCAGAAGCTGGTTCTTAGACATAATTCTGTAGCTCTTCCATTCTATGAGTATTGTGTTACAAGTAAGCAGGATCGGCTAAAGTTCAATACATCAAGTTCTAGAAGTAAGGCTATTTTAGAACTAGTTCATTCTGATATATGACAAACATCAGTTATATCCATGGGAGGAGCAAAGTACTTTGTGTTCTTTATTGATGATTACTCCAGGATATGTTGGGTGTATCCTATAAAGAAGAAGGCATATGTGCTCTCAATTTTTAAAGCCTACAAAGTGCGAGTCAAGCTTGAATTTGAAAAGAAGATCAAGTACTTGAGGTCAGATAATGGAGGAGAATATACAAACGGTGAATTTCTTGCATTCTGCAAGCAAGAAGGCATCAAAAGGCAATTCACTACTACTTATACTCCTTAATAAAATAGAGTGGTGGAGTGGATGAACAAGACTTTATTGAAAAGAACAAGAGAAATGTTGGCAACTGTAAATCTGGATAAGGTTTTTAAGCGGAAACAGTAAAAACTGTCTTTTATGTGGTGAATAGATCTCCATCAACTACAATACAGTTAAATACGCTGATGGAGATATGGACTGGCAAGCCAGTTGATTATTTTAACCTCCATATATTTAGAAGTCCAGTGTACGTAATGTACAATGCCAAAAAATTACAAAACTAGATTTAAAATCTAAAAAATACATATTCTTAGGGTATGCTGACGAAGTTAAAGGGTATCGATTGTGGGATCACACTACTTGCAAGGTTATCGTTAGCAGAGATGTTATATTTATAGAGAACCAACTACAAAGTGAAGAGAAAGAAAGCTGTTTAAGGAAGAACTCAGAGATTGTAGCTTTTCAGGTAGAAAACGGTCCAAATTCTTCTGAAGCAACACCGGAGCATGATGTATAAGAACCAATCAAGTCCAATGCCCCAAAAGTTCGAAAGTCAACTCGTGAGAGAAGACCACTAACTTGGCACTCAGAGTATATTACGGAGAGTAATGTTGCATACTGTTTTCTAACAGAGGATGGAGAGCCATCAACTTTTCATGAAGTTATAAATAGCACATATGCATCTTTTTGGATGGTAGAAATGCAGAAAGAAATTGAATCTCTCCATAAGAATAAGACTTGGGTACTTGTGTCACTACCATAAGGAAGAAAGACCATTGGAAATAAATGAGTCTATAAGATCAAATAAAATGACGATGATCAAGTGGAGCGATATCGGGATAGATTGATGGTAAAATTATATGCTAAAAAAGAAGAGCAGCTAGACGTGAAAACAATATTTCTTTATGGAGATCTTGAAGAAGATATTTACATGCTCTAACCAAAAAAGTTTTTTAAAAAAGAGAGAACTTAGTTTGCAGATTGAACAAATCTCTGTACGGTCTAAAGTAAGTGCCGAGGTGTTGGTACAAGAGATGTGATTCATTCATCATGAGTCTTAGATACAACAGACTTAATTCAGACCCTTGTGCATATTTCAAGAGGTTTGGTGAAAATAACTTTGTTATCTTATTGTTGTATGTTGACGACATGTTGGTTGCAGACCCCAACAAAGATCATATTAAAGAATTAAAGGCACAATTGACTAGGAAATTTGAAATAAAGGATTTAGGATCTGCAAACAAGATTCTAGGGATGCAAATTTATCGAGACAAAATTATTAGGAAGATTTAGCTTTCTCAGAAAAATTATTTAAAGAAAATCTTGCGGCATTTTAACATGTAAGATTGTAAGTTAATTTTTACCCCACTTTCTATTAATTTTAAGTTATCCTCCAGTATAAGTCCTAGCAGTGAAGAAGAGAGGATGAAGATGTCTCGAGTACGGTATGCATCAACAGTGAGAAGTCTAATGTTCTCTACGATTTGTACAAGACGAGACATTGCACAAGAAGTGGGACTGGCTAATCGATATATGACGAATCCTGGTAAAAAGAATTGAAATGCTGTAAAGAGGATCCTAAGATATATTAAGGAAACCTCAAATATTGCATTATGTTATGGGGGGATCAGATTTTATTACCAATGGATATGTTAATTCTGATTATGGAGGTGATCGTGATAATAGCAAATCCACAACATGCTATATGTTCGTACTTACTAGCGGAGCTGTAAGCTGAATTTTAAAACTGCAATCAGTGGAGACTACTTCAATAACAGAAGCAGAATATGTACAGCTACACAAGTTAGTAAAAAGGCGATATGGTTGAAGATAGTGCTGGAGGAACTCACACATGAACAAAAGAAGATTTTTTTTATTTTGTGACAGTCAGAATGCTTTATATTTGCAAGAAATCTAGTCTTTTATTCAAAGATAAAACACATTCGAGTTCATTACCACTTCGTTCGTGAGAAAGGAAGAAGGAACATTGGATATGCAGAAAATTCACACTAAAGATAACCTAGCAGATTTTTTGTCAAAAACAATCAATACTGATAAATTTATTTAGTGTCAATCCTCTTGTGGTCTGTCGGAGACGTGAGCAATATGAAGATGGCAAGATAAAAAGAATGGTGTGAAGATATGATTGATACACAATCAAATCTTCAAGTGTGAGATTGATTAAAAGTTACTGTATTTATAGTAATCACCTACCCGCTACAGTAATCACCAACCGCAGACCTACTAAACGTTACTATAGCAATACTGTAGCAACAGTGCACACGTACCACAAACTCACCTATATATAGCTCTCTCTGGCGTTAAGTTCTGATCATCCCAGTGTCTCTAATTAAGAGTGAAAAGAAAGAAAGAGGGAGAGAAAAGAGAGAAAATATAGAGAGTTTCTACTTGAAAAGAGAGATTGTAACTCCTAAAATTTTTTTCATAGTGGATTCTTCTATCCTTACCCGTGGTTTTTATCCAAATTTATTTAGGGGGTTTTACGTATATTTGTGTGTTCATTTTATTACTTCTGCTCTACTATTCGCTGAGACCTTGCTCTATTAGACCCTGGGTTTATCCCAACATAATTTGCATATTGAGTTTGGTAATCCTCAGCCAAAAGGTAGCGATTAGGTATGGATGGTGCTTAAAATCTGGTTTGTGGTTGTGGCTGATAATACAATAAACATTATTTTTATTGTGGAGTGTATTCATTTTTTAAAATCTTTAGTTGACAGGTCACTACTATAACCATATTTACGATGTAAACATGGTAGTCCATCAGATATTGGTTATTAAGAGAGAGAGAGAGAGAGAGAGAGAGAGAGAGAGAGAGAGAGAGAGAGAGAGATTTGGAAGATGAAAAGGATATAAAGATTTTATACTATCTTATCCCTTATATAATATATTTCCTTCAAAATTCAACTCCAAGAGCAAAAGAGCCCAATTTGGGTACGTACAGATACAATAATAATCATCAGTTTCGCCCTTATGAATAATATATCAAATAAAATTAGCGTCTAACGTGCATGCACTTTGCCTTTTTCATAATACCTCTACTTATTGGTTAAACCAATAGTAATTTGAGTATCAAGTGACCTCCTTCTAACCGAACTCACAAAATAGTCATCTCAATCAAACAAGTTTTTATTACTATCTCATTAACTGTCACAAAAGTAATTATCAAATTGATTGCATGTACAGGGTTCCATTGATTCTTAGAATCAACAACTTAGGAACTGGAGGGTGTAACTGTAGGATCTCTCGTATCACAACTTTTAGGTAGCTCATTCTGTTCAAGGCTTTCTCCGTGATATAAAGATTAGTACTCCTCCAAAGAGTACTTTTCGGTGTTGCCCATACTCTGCCACCAAATCACTATCATATTAAATACGGGTTAGATGTAATAATGACTCCTCAAACGATGCCCACACCTTGTCATTCTGTCACTATCACATTAAATGTGATATGGATGATTGTCGTAAATTCACCCAATTAGTTGTTGACATGTGTAAAGCGTAAACAAATACTGTTTTC